AACAATATCTAAATCACCTGCAGTAAAATTTTTATGGCAAATCTTGTATATCTCTCAGAATATAAGGCTCTGAAAGTGCTAAAATCTCACTCTGACCTGTGGGGCAAAAAAAGAGATGAGGTCTGGAATAAATGAAAGTCCAGAAACAATACAGAGAACTTTACCCACCACACCTCCAAAAAGTTATTTGATAGTAAAATCTTCTCAAGAACAAAATTCCATGAACTTGTAGAAAAGCACGGATCTATTGTGTAGGCTGGGGCTGGAAAGTAGAGGGTAAAAAGCAATGAGGGAAACTTAAGAGAGGACTTCTTTCTTCCTCCTCTGAAGGAAACTGATCTTCTTCACTCACCCATTATACGTAAGTGCTACTGAAAGATCTGTAAAAGGATTAGGATGTTTGATGCATGCAAGGTGCCAGTAGCTAAATGGAAAACAACATTTTCCAGGGCATTAGCAGGGCTGTGTAAATGCAATGCCAACGAGTCAGATATTGCCTCTATACTCAACTGATGAGAAAAGTTTATTTAGCAAAGCCATTAAAATCTGATTAAGATTTGATGGGAAAATATGATAATTGTGGTAAGTACACTGTGGTCTGAATGCTGCCAGTGTTGATTAACACCCTTAGCAGCCCAGTGGGAATCCTATCTAAAGCACATTTCACATATAAGGCATGGGAATCAGAATAAACTTTGGAAAACAGCCACCGTATCATTCAGATGAGTGTTTTATGTCCCTGTAGGAAAAGTAAGTGAAATGAGATAAAGGAAAGTTACCAAAGGATTCGTTTGACTCACAAATGTATATGGGGATTTACAAATGCTGAAGATATGAGGCTAGATTCATACCTGCTATAGTTTTGCCAACTTAGTTGAATTCCCAAGGGTTAAGTTTGGCCCGTAGTCTTTGTCCTGGTCAGCTTAAATCAGACAAGTATTTTGATACATGGGAAAATAATCATTTCTGTATTGCAAGGGAATACAGCTGGCACAGAAACCAAAGCAAAGGAAGTAATTACAGAGAGAGTTGAGAGAAAGAAGATTGTTTTGCTGACAGGAAGAATGAAGCTGTTCCAACTATGAGGATCGTAATGAAATGATATAAAACCAAGCATGAGAAGGGGTGGGAGAGCAGTTGCGGAATAGGATTTGGAGAAATATATGGAGGAAGAAGGAGAACAGAATAAAATTGTAACTGGTATGTTAGCAAGTGTGTCATTTCTTTAAAGGTGAAGAAAAGCTTGAACTTTGTGTGTCAAAGACAGAAGCTCAAAGAAATTTGAAAGAAGGAGAGAGAGAATGGCAAAAGCATGAGATTGTTTTTAACTTAGGCGTTTCTGCTATACTAACAAATCAAACAGTGAGATTTAGAAAGAGTGGAAAAGGATGTGTTTTATGAAGTCAGTCAAGCATTTGAAGGAGTACAGATTTAAAAAGAAAGAATGAACGCTTGGGATTTAAAGGGACAAAAGGTTAAGGGAAGCGTTGCAGATGGGTCTGAGGTTTTGATTCTAAATAGCTAGTGAGACAATGAAACTGTTAATGATGATGAGGAGGAGGTAAAATCTAGAGGTTTGAGGGGTTGGTTTTGTTTGCATTTTTTGTTGGTGGGGGTTTGGGGAACTTTTTTTTTTTTTCCCCAAAAGTAAGTCCTAGGCACTTTGTTCCAAATTCCTAATTCAACATTCAGCTTAAAAAAGGAAAATACCCATGCAGGGTGATTGTGAAGACTGAATTGTTTGCACACAGCTTAGTAAGGTTTGAGTGAATCGAGGAGATGGAATTGTTAAATAAAAACATCAAATCCAGTGTGGCTTCAATAAATGAAATATTGGATAGGGCTCGTGTCCTTACTTTATTGGAAGAGGCTTTAAGTAATTAAGAATATTCTCTTACGTCTCTTTTTGCTTAATTGCTCAATAGAATTTTTTTATTTAAAGGATCTATTGCTGATGTGTTTTGGAACTCTGAAAGCTTCCCTATTCTTTTGGTAGGGGACTATAATGAGGAATCTGGTAGCCCTGTACTAGGGGATTTCCATTTATAAAATGTATGGTTACCATACTTGGAGTCTTACCTTCACCCTCACCTGAATGCTATCTGCAAAGCTAACTGCTTACAGGTGGCCTTGGTGGAGACAGCAAAGTGGGGAGGGCATATAGGTTGATGAGTTAAAGGCAAGAAGGCTATAGAGCACTGGATCAGGAGGAACAGTGACTATCTTCTAAGAGAAAAGGTTATTATGAATCTATCCTAACAGTAAATGTGCTTTGTCTGGAGAAGTTTGTGAGACAGCTGTCTTGTGTTGCCACTGATGGACATGTGGCTCCATAAATATGACTGTTTCTGGGCAGTATGAGACCATAGGGTGTTTTAGCAGACTAGCTGTGTTAGTTTCCAAACTCTTGCGTTGTGATATGTTGGTTTAGGCTAGCAGCTTTGAAGTCTAATTGCATATCTGTTGTTTATATCTTTTTCCCCTTCTCTTTCTTTTTTTTTGTCTGCTTTTTGTTTTAACCTGACTTAACAGTATTAACTAGTAAATACTATCCATCCTTGCTTTCATATCCTGCTGCTTCGGCTCTTCTGCTGACTGAGTTTATGAAGGGAATTGAAAATGTTTCAAAACACTGTGCAACCTCTACAAACTGCAGAATCTGTATAAACTCTGCCTTTTCAGCTTGTTAAGTTTGTCTTTTTTTTTGTTTGTACCCAACAGAGTTTAATCAAATAGTGGCACTGAGAATTTTTTCCTCCAAATTCTATGTAGGCAAGCAACTCTCTCAATTCAGCAGCCTGTTATGTGCCCCAAGTAATCAAGTACAAAGCACTTTTTAATCTCCATTTAAGAATGTCCAAATTCTTGATTCAAGTGCAGATATAATATATATTAGAGGCAGGTCTTGATCTGGTACTGCTTTGACTCAGAAGATGGATTAATAAAGTGAGGAGCAAGTAACACCAAACCTTTCCCTATCTGGGTTGTCTTTTATACATTAATTACAGCTGAGACCTCTGGAATGGGTCATGTTGATGAAGAACGTTTCTATTCTTTAAGTATTTTTTTCTTCACTTCTAAGATCTAGGTTTACACTTGAGAGATTTTATCTGAGATACAGCAGAAAAATTGTGATACGCAAAAGGGAAAGCAATTTTGTTGCTGTGCTTCAGTAAGCTCATTTGTTTAACAGATCTGTGCAAAATTTCTCTCAGAGATCTATTTTTCCATATTTAACCAATGACTGAGTGCCTTAACTGAGTGCTTGCTCACTGTGATGCTGCCTTTTATCAGCCTTCAGCATAAGGGAAGCTTAGTCCTACCCTAGAGAAAGATGCATTATTCTTAGTAGAAGCTGCTGTGGGGACCCACCCATCTGTTATTGTAGTAGGAGCTATAAAAGCACATGTTTCTCTTTGTCTCAGAGACCTAATTGTCTGCAGTGCATAAGATGTCCCCACAGACAAAGGAGCACAGGGGATAACAAAGCTTTTGGAGAACATTGTTAAAGTTTTCACTCTCCGCTTACGTTATGTGGGATGTCTTTTAACCGTTATTTGATGCATCAGCTGCAGCTACCATCAGTGCAGACTTATCTTGGGTGAATAAGACACTGCTAAGAACTGAAAGGGGCCAAATACTAATTTCTCCTTATTTTTTTAAATTCCAGTCCTGATTAGCTAGCTGTAGACCCCAAATCAGTGAATGCTAATGGATGCTCAGAAATACTTTGCTGATCGGAGATCGAGTTAAGCATATCTGTACAGTTCAGCTTACTGCTTTGCTGAATCTAAAGAATTGACTGAACTTACTCTTAAGTTCCCCCTTGCAAAATCCATGTGACTTAGATGGATGAACTAAGCAACAGAGATGCCCTGAGTGCTGATCAGGACATTGCTACTTGTATGTAGTCCAATGCTGAAGATGTTCAAGGGGAAAAAATGGAAAGTTAACGTGCTTGCAGGAAAGAGTTGTTTGGTTTTTTTTATTTGGCTCTTCCTGCTAAAATAAGTCTGGCTCACTGAATAATCCATGAGAAGCTAAATATCTGCCAGCTGAGGTAGCAAAAATACTGCTGCAAGCAGCTTGCTGTAAAGGGTAGATAGAGCAGATATAAACCAGGCAAAGAGCCCTAATCAGATTTCTGAATACGTTCTCACTTGGTTACCACTGCCACAGTATCCAATAAGCTTCTGATCCTTTTATTAACCATTTACAATGTACGGAAGTGCTAATTTTCATTTTACAGATAGGGAAGTGAGGTCCACCAAGATTAACCAGATAGATAAGCATTGCTGACAACATAACTCATATTTGGGTGTTTAACTCCAATGGATTTCAGCAGG